AGTGAGGGAAGGTGTTGGTGCAAATATAAGGGCACAGATTCAGAAAAGAACATTTCAACATCACAAGAGAGGATAAAAACCATATGATCATTTCAATAGATGCAGAAAAAGCATTTGACAAAGTACAACATCCATTCATGATAAAAACCCTCAACAAAGTAGGCTTGAGGGAACACATCTCAACATAATAAAGGCCATATATGAAAAACCCATAGCTAACATCATACTCAATGCTGAAAAGCTGAGAGCTTTCCCCCTACAGTCTGGAACAAGACAAGGATGTCCACTCTCATTTTTATTCAACATAGTACTAGAAGTCCTATCCACAGCAATCAGACCAGAAAAAAATAAAAGGCATCCAGATTAGTAAGGAAAAAGTAAAACTTCTACTCTTTGCAGATGACATAGTATTACATGTAGAAAACTTAAAAGACTCCACCAAAATACTACTACAACTGATAAATGAATTCAATAAGGTTGTAGGATACAAAATCAACATACAGAAATCCATAGCATTTCTATGCACTAACAATGAAGTAGAGAAAGAGAAATTAAGAAAACAAATCCATTTATAATTGCATCAAAGAATGAAATGCCTAGGAATAAATTTAACCAAGGAGGTGAAAAACCTGTACTTTGAAAACTATAAAACACTGATGAAACAAACTGAAGACAACACAAATGGAAAGACATTCCATGCTCATGCATTAGAAGAGCAAATACTGTTAAAATGTCTATACTGCCCAAAGCAATCTACAGATTCAATGCAATCCCTATGAAAATACCAACAGCATTTTGCGCAGAACTAGAACAAATAATCTTAAAATTTGGATGGAACCACACAAGACCCTGAATAGCCAAAGCAATCTCGAAAAACAAAACTGGAGGTATCACAATCCCAGACTTCAAGTTATATTACAAAGCTATAGTAATCAAACAGTATGATAACTAGCATAAAAATAGACACACAGATCAATGGAATAGAGAGCCAAGAAATAAACCCACAATTATATGGTCAATTAATCTTCAACAAAGGAGGCAAGAATATGCAATGGGAAAAAGTCTGTTCAACAAACAGTGTTGGGAAAACTAGACAGCTATGTGCAAACAAATGAAACTAGACTACTTTCTGTCACCATACACAAAAACAAATTAAAAATGATTAAAGACCTAAACATGAAACTAAAACCATAAAAATCCTTGGAGAGAGTAGGCAAGCGATAATCTCTCTGATAGCAGCTATAGCAACATTTGTCTAAATAGGTCTCCTAGGGCAAGGGAAATAAAAGAAAAAAAAAACTATTGGGACTGCATCAAAATAAAAAGCTTCTACACAGCAAAGGAAACAACAAAACAAAAAGATAACCTACTGAATAGGAGAAGATATTTGCAAATGACATATCCAATAAGGAGTATCAAAGATATATAGAGAACTTCTATAACTCAACACCAAAAAAGCAAATAATCCAATTACAAAATGGGCAGAAGACATGAACAGGCATTTATCCACAGAAGACATCCAGATGGCCAACAGACTGAAAAGATGCTCAAAATCACTCATCATCAGGAAAATGCACATCAAAACTACAATGAGATATTACCACCTCACACCTGTCAGAATGGCTAAAATCAAAAGCCCAAGAAACAAGTGTTGGTGAGGAGGTAGAGAAAAACGAACCCTCTTGCACTGCTGGTGGAAATGCAAACTGGTGCAGCCACAGTATGGAGTTTCCTCAAAAAATTAAGAACAGAATTACCATATGACCCAGTAATTCCACTACCGGGTATTTACCCAAAGGAAATGAAAATACTAATTCGAAAAGATACAGGCACCCCTATGTTTACTGCAGCTTTATAATAGCTAAGATATGGAAGCAACACAAGTGTCCATTGATAGATGAATGGGTAAAGAAGATGTGTATATATGTGGTGTATATGTATAATGGAATATTACTCAGCCATAAAGAATGAAATCTTGCCATTTGCAAAAACATGGATAGATCCAGAAGGTATAACATTAAGTGAAATTAAGAGAGAAAGAAAAATGCCATATGATTTCATTCATGTACGGAATTTAAGAAACAAAACAAACGGAGAAAAAAAAGAGAGAAAAAACCAGACTCTTAAATAGAGAGAACTGGTGATGGGTGAGGAGATGGGTAGGGGGATGGGTGAAATATGTGAAAAGGATGAAGAGCACACCTATCATGATGAGCACTGAGTAATGTATAGAATTGTTGAATCGCTATATTGTATACCTGAAATAATGTAACACTGTATATTGATTATACTGGAATTAAAATTTTTTAAAAATAAGTTAGAAAAAAGGGTAACATTTCAGTTATCAAATATATATTCAAAAGAAATAGGGGTGGGGAATCAGGGTACAAGCTTAAATTCTAATTTCAGTTCCACATTTATTACCAGAATAGATTGCCCAGATTAAATAATTTTCCTCAAAAACAAAAACATTTCTACTTTTTCAGTTAAAAAAAATCTAAGCATAATTAATTAGAAATGTGATGAGACCCTGAATGTCCATTAGTGAAAAAGAAAGTCATCGCAACAATTATACTGAACACTATTTCAGGAGTTCTGAATTTTATTTTATTTTTTAAAGATTTTATTTATTTGAGAGAGAGAGAATGAGAGACAGAGCACGAGCGGGAAGACGGTCAGAGGGAGAAGCAGACCCCCTGCTGAGCAGGGAGCCCAATGTGGGACTCGATCCCGGGACTCCAGGATCATGACCTGAGCTGAAGGCAGTCGCTTAACCAACTGAGCCACCCAGGCGCCCAGGAGTTCTGAATTTTAAAGCAAGAATATTAAACAGGAATATAACAGAAATTTTTAATTTTAGATATGTTGTTTTTATTCAAAAGAATAACTGCTTGACAACCTAAGTCACAAAGTTTGGACCAAACCACCAGTCCACTGAAACAGCCCTTTGAAGTTTGTATCCGCACAGCCACAGGGACTGAAAAAGTCCTTTCGTCCCTTGTTGCTCTCAAATGCTGAGAATTGTAAGCTGAAACCACTGTTCTAGTGGACAGTGAGAATAATTGTTTCCACCATCTTGTTCCCCACAAGAGCTGCCCAAAGTTATCTTCTGCTCCTGGGGTTGGACCATCTGTTTTTGTGAAAGTTACATATTGCAATTTACAAAAATCCAAATTGTTCCTTTGATTTATACTATCTAACTGAATCATAGAAGCATTACTATGCTTAAAACACTGATCGATTCTACTTGCTTTAAATACTTTCTCAGATCCCTTTCACGTTTATTATCAATGATCAGTAAAGATGACATAATAAGCAGGCCTAAAATTCTGAGATGTCCACATGTTCCCTTTTCAGTTTAATAAGACTTCACATTATTATATAGTGTTTTTGTATGTTACAGAAGTTGGTACAATACATCTCTACTGGGAAAATCTTAGAAGGAATTCCAAATATTACAGTAAAACTGTAACTAGAAAAGTGACACGTGAAGCAGAATACATGCAGAGAAAATTAAATCCTTTCAAAAAAATGACATTGCTGTAGCCCCACACCAAATTTGTAATTGGCGAAAAATACGTTTCTAGTCTGGTAAATGGTGGCATAGCAAAGTCCCAACTCATTAGCTTTTTAACTTGGTGACTGCAGCTGAAATGTTTTCTATGAATCATGCCACCATATTGGACATTTGATTTAGAAGTGTAGAATTAGGATTCATGAAATCTTGATACGTAATCTTTCTAGACCTCTTAGAATCACCTAAGTGATGCTACTCCAGTGTGTTTTGAGACTTCCCCCAAGGATTCCAGTTTCTCTCCTGCATCCCCTCTTCATAATAACCTTCACATCTATTTGAACCCATACTAAGGAGTTTACTAAGAGTCTAATACCTGTTTAGTCACTTATTTGTGCATGGCTTCAGACCAAACTTTGACGTGTAACATATGGATTTCATCTATGAAAAGGAAGGCAGTACCCTGCCTTCCTCACATAACTGTCCTAAGGATAAAAGGTCAAGTAGGCGAGAAATGCTTTAATTATAATGTGCTATATTTAAGCATTATTGTTTTCTCTATGACAAGCAACAGCTTTGTCCTACACCCAAATTAGAAAAGTTATTGATATTTCATTCAGCATCTCATTAACTGATGACTAATCTGATGAACTTTAGAGAACGTGATAGATTTGGGTTTTCTCTCCCTATCAATACCTAACAAGGTTCACTAATACATGAATGGACAGTATGACAGAGCCAACACTGACCCCTTGGCATCGATTGCCCTGCTGTCCAGTTCACAGATGAGCAGTACCAGCTGAGGGAGTTAGTTCATAACACTTGTGGTTTTGATTCTTCTAAAACAGAAAACTGCAGATGAGGGCATTAGGTACTTATGCTGTAGCCATCAAAAATAGCAAGATAACTTTCTTATTGAACTGCCTCAGACAACATTTGCTCATTTTGTATTAGACCAGAGGAATGTGGGCTATATGCTGCCATCTAGGGACAGTATTACAAAAGTTTTCTCACAAGAGAAAACAAAATTTGTCGTCCATTCTGTTGGTATAGCTCACCAGTAATTTCTCATCAAATTTAAATAGTGTTCCTATACCCCTCCCAAGGGTTTTGATGCTCATTGCCATGAAAATCTACTTTCCTCAGAAATTCATCAAACTACTATGTGTTTACAGTATCACAGAAATTCCTGAAAAAAATTTCCTTTTCCAAGTTACTTTTATATATTATTCCTATAAAAGGACCAGACTCTTCTTTAAATGTCACAACTGAGAAAATCATGTGTGCTGACTGCAGATAAATGTTTTGTACCTTGTTAATTCTTCTATTGATTAAGAAGTGTTTTATAAACCAGAACATGAAATCAAATTATAAACTTCAAGTTCCTTCTTTTACTTTTAGCTGATAGCAAAGAATTATATCAGGATAGAAAAGCATAACTGCTACAAGTGCATAAAACATAGCTAGCACTAAAAGACACACTGACTTTCCCCCAAAATTGTACATTTTATTGTAACAAAAATAATTAGATGCATCTCATAGCAATATATTATCATATAGGTACACACTGAGAAGGACAAATTGGATAAACTGTAAAACAATATCTTACTATACATCCAATTAATGAGTAATTTTTGGAAAAAGAAAAAGATATAAAATCATCCCTTTTTATATAATTCTATGTTTTTTTCCAGAGACTTTATAGACAACACAATCAAGATTTAATTGTAAATTATTATAATTCTATCCTTAACATTAGAACCTGTAATGTAAAAATTCCAGTCATATCTTGGTAGGCATTTGCCAAATGAAATCAAATGTTTGTCATACATGGTTTTAAGCTTGTACAATAATATTCAAATACTGTATACTGCCACGGGCCCTTCTGTCTGGTTTCACACATTAGCTGAAATATTTTTAGTAAACTCCCATTTTTTCACCTGTTTAGTCTCTGTGTTATCACTTCTCGATACATAATAGAGATGTAGATGAGCAACAAAAAGATGACAAAGAAATCATCTAGAAAGCCTAGAATTCCAAACAGGGCTTCAGGTACAAAATCTAGAGGTGATATAAGATAGAAAAAAGCTCCCATTAAACAAAGTATTATCCTGATGCGGAACATCCAGAAAAGGCCCCCGACTGAAAACATTTCCCTGAATGCATGCCTCAGTAAAGTGGGTAGATCCATAATTCTTTCCATAATCTGGTGGGGGAAGAACAAGATATGATTTGTCATCTAGTATGTCAGGTATCAATATAATTTTCTTACAATGTGCAAACTCAGTAAACATGAATTAAGGAATTTCACATATTTTCTAGCTAAGCATTTTATTTAAAAACAGATCTTTGATAACTAGGTTCTTCTAAAATAGATCTTACTGCAGATAACGGAAAAGCAACTAAAATGTCAACAAACTTACAATACAGGATATAGTGAGGCAAAACTCAAGTCCTCTCTAATTTGAATTAGTAAAATAAACCAAATGAAGCACTTAGTGTATATAGGATTAGAGCTTGAGGCTTGAGCTGGGTCTGGGTTTAAACTCAAAGTCAATCTCTTAGTAGTCAGGTAACCTTGGGGGAAGTTGTTTAACCAAATTGAGATCGAGCAACAACTAACCAAGTTTGTGTCACAAGGACTATTAAGAACTAAAAGATACTGTATACAAAAGACCTTTATAAATTGCCAGACAATATAGAAGTAGTATACATTAAAGACACATTAACTTGGATGACTTTGATAATCTAAGAATAGCAATGAAACCAAACGGACTCCTTCCTAGGATGTTTATTTGGCTTAGCTGGAGTTTAAGTGAATTACTAATTGCCAAAAGATTTTTGGAATGCCAGACCCTACCTTTATAAAAATGATTATGTTTCTGAATATGTACAAAAACATCAATTACTAGGTTTTTACATAGTGAGCATAATTTTCACAGCCGAAAACAATTACATAAATTTTTGAAAATTGAGGCATTCAGAGAAATTGGAACCCTCACAATTATTGGTGGGAATGAACAGCCTCTTTGGAAACAGTTTGGCAGTTCTTCTAAATGTTAAACAGGGTTACCATAATATCCAGCAATTCCACAATGAGGCATATACCCAACAGGAATGAAAATATGACTCCACACAAAAACTGGTACACAAATATGAATGGAAGCATTATTCATAATAGCCCAAAAGTGTAAACAATTCAAATGCTCATCAACTGACGAATGGATAAACAAAATGTGATATATATCACTTGGCCATAAAAAGCCAATGAAGTTATGATATATTTCACAACATGGATGAACCTTGAAAACACTATGCTAAGTGAAATAAGCCAGAGACAAAAGGCCATATATTATATGATCTCATTTCAATGAAATGATGAACATCCAGATTAGCCCAATCTATAGAGGCAGAAAGTAAATTAGTAGTTACCAAGGACTGGGGTGAATGAGAAGGGATGCCAAAGCTTTTGGGATGATGAAAATATTCTAAAATTGGATTATGACAATAACTAGATTATATTTACTCTGAATACACTAGAGACCATTGAATTATATAAACAGGTTGCCCTTTATGATGTGTAAAATACATCTAAATAAAGCTGTTAACAAAAGAGTACTAATATCTATTTGTATAACCTTGAGCAAGTTAGTTTATCCTCTGCCTGCAAACTTTGCATTTGTTTTGTGTAGTCTGTTTGGACTATATGGTCCTGTGTAGTAATGAACTACCATGACTTCTCAACATAACTTCTTTCACGATCTCATTTGTCAGGGGCTGGTAGATACAGAGAAACTGACCAGAGGAAGAAAGTCACTTCCTGTGGTTATTCCACTGGGCACAGTTCAGCTCTAATTAACAATCTGTGTAATTACAATATGTCCAAGTATGTATTTTGTTTGTTTCACGAGTGCCAAATAAGTAGAGAGGGAAGTGGAGACAAAAATGGGAAGAACTGAGCAAGTGATAAGGAAAGAGTTTTATAAACTCCACCAGATAGTCCTGTAAATCCTTTTTGGAAAACTGATCACAAAAAACCAAAATGGTCTTTTTAGAATCAGTTCCTATGTTAATTTTCTATTCTCTACTGGAGAAACTAACATTTAAAGCAAAACAGCAGCACAACTTTCACAAGTCTATGATAAGTTGTTTTAAATATTCTAGGGACCAGCTAGTGTATGTTTTGAATACTTTTCTGTCCTTTATCAGAGCCGTTTGTTCACTTCTCATATCACTTATACAAAATCTATAATAAGTAGATAAGAAGTATGAAATGGGTTACTAAGAAATGTTTGTATATTAATCACAATCTTACTCCAACTTTGGATGAGGCAGAATATTACAGTAAGAGCTAAATGTCTCTATTACACTGTACTTTCATCATGTACCGGACTCGTCAAATATCTGACACCTACCAAAAATTGAGCAACGATATGCTTCACACCTAAAAACAAGAATGAATATCTTAAAATGATTTTTTTTTTCTTAAGTTCAGTGGTAGGTCTTGAATTTGGAACATGTTGATTTTCAAAGAATCATCCTACAGATGACACTGGAGGATATGTAAAAAAAAAAAAAAAAAATTGCTGGATGAAAAATAGCAGAAGAGGCCCCCAAATAACTGTGAAGGACAACAGTGATTGGATTAACTTTCTTTTTGTTTAAACATCTAGAAGATTTACCCATTATCCACAAAAGCTGAAACTGTATGCCCTTAAATGTACATGACATCACAGTGTAAGAAATACATGCAAGGAAGCACAAGAGTACACAAGTGTTTAATACTGAAGCATTTTAATAGCTTATATTCTTGGCTGAGAGTAGTAGTATCAATTCTTAACCATAACTCATTAATTTATTCAACAAATATCAAAGGCTTACTGTATCCCAGGCACTGAAATTGGTGATGAGAATATAGCAGTGGATATATAAATATAGTTCTTGCCCTCATGAAGCTTTTAGTCTACTGAGAGAAAGATAATGAACAAGATTTGAGTATGGTTTGTGACAAATCTACAAAGGAATGGTGCAGAGGACAGTGATAGAGAATACCTTAGTTGATCAGGGAAAGCCTCTCTTAGGAAGGTCTACTTAAGAACGACCTAAAGGGGGCGCCTGGGTGGCTCAGTCGTTAAGCGTCTGCCTTCGGCTCAGGTCATGATCCCAGGGTCCTGGGATCGAGCCCCGCATCAGGCTCTCTGTTCAAAAGGGAGCCTGCTTCTCCCTCTCCCACTCTGCCAGCTTGTGTTCCCTCTCTCACTGTCTCTCTCTGTCAAATAAATAAATAAAATCTTTAAAAAAAAAAAAAAAGAACGACCTAAAGGATGAGAAGTCAGCCATGAGAAGAGCAGAGGGACAAGCATTCCCAATCGAGGGGTCATGTGTGAAGGCATTAAGATGGGAAGACTTGGAGTGTATTTTGAGAGCTGAAAAGCGGCTGGTGGAGTGAAGCATTTTGGGTGAGGCTTGGGAGGGAGGCACCAGGTCATGTAGGGCCTTGTAAACACAGGAAGGAGTTGGAACATTATTCCAAAACATTGGAAGTTTTAAAATACAAGAATATCACGGTCTTACTTATGTTTTCAAAATATTACTCGGGCTGCTGTGCAGAGAAAAAAGTCACAGTGAAGAGGCCATTTGCAGTTATTATCCTAAGCAAGAGATGATGATGGCTTAGGCTAGTATGATGGCTACAGACACAGGACATTTTTATGAGCTAAAAATGACAGGATCTCCCAAAAGGAGAAAAGAAATGATACAACTTATTTATATATCAGATGAGGGGAATGAGGGAAAGGAAGAAATCAAAACAGCTGAGTAAGACAGAAAAGAATACACTGAGTTGAGGAGGGAAGCAATTCAATATTGTACATACCATGTTTGAGATGACTATGGAGCATCCAAGTGGAGATGTAAGCCAAGCACTTAGACATATGCTCTAGAGCTCAGAGGAGAGGTCTAGGCTTTCCATATAAATTTGTATTTACAATATTGATTTCTGAAGTACATACTTAGTCATGCACACACTTCTAGAATTCTTTTGTTAGATTTTGAAAAAAAACTGGGAATGAGCCAGTAAAATGTGACAGTTTTTAATCTATCACATGCCTTTTTTTGAGGGGAGGAGGTCAACTATTAAATTAATGTGTTCTTTAAAAATCAAATGCTTTTGAGTAACTAAAATGACATAACAAAAAAACCTCCCCAACACCTAGAGTTACTTCAAAGAGGAGGTCAGGGTAAATAAAAAAGTGGAAGACACAATTGTAAAACTCTCCAGAAGTTCTCAGTTATAAGTTTCTCATTGGATAATCCCTATTTTAGATTTGCACAGGAGCCGTGCTTGCTTCGGCAGCACATATACTAAGATTTGCACGGGAGTCAATAATTTCACATTTCCCTCCAATTTTTCTTTTTTTTTTTTTCTGGAATCTCTTTCATAAAGATTTATAATGCCTTTTTTTTTTGTTTAGATAGAAAACTGTAGTCCTTGGGAAAGCTGTAACTCAGTGATTGACAACAAGGATGAAGTTTATTTTATTTTATTTAAAGATTTATTTATTTATTTGAGAGCGAGAATGAGAGAGAGAGAGAAAGAGAGTACATGAGAGCGGAGAGGGTCAGAGGGAGAAGCAGACTCCCCGCTGAGCAAGGAACCTGATGCGGGACTCGATCCCGGAACTCCAGGATCATGACCTGAGCCGAATGCAGTCGCCTAACCAACTAAGCCACCCAGGCGCCCCAACAAGGATGAAGTTTAAAACTTTACCCAACACACATAAACAATGAGACTTTTTATAGTCAAAGAATACTTGTTGGTTAATCTCACCTTACCAAAGAGAAGTATCATTATACTCTAACTTTGCACTTGCTATAACAATACTTACAGATCTGGGCTGCCCTGAGAATCTCCGGTTATAATCATTAATATCTTGGCGCAATGATACAACATCCTGAGATTGGTCATTTTCACCAAATACTGTTAGCAGTAAAGTCACCTGTATATTACAAAAAGAAAAAATTGTTATACCTTTCTGCAGCATTTTTTTTCATTTTGTTATTATTCAATAGAATGAATAAAGCTTCTAAATTTATATTTCACTCATTTCTTTTAATAAAGGCAACATGGGGAGGAAAGTAAGTTATCATTGCCTTGTAATAAAATCCAATGCAAAATGTAATTTGAATTCCCATAAAATCAAATGGGTACCTCAACCAAACACTGGTTCTAATATTTTCCAGGTCACGCCAGGGATAGTCAGTAGTTCTCTGTTTGGGCTAACAAATATTTGAAGATATAAGAATGATGAGAAAATACTCAGGAGTGAAGTGACATAAAAATATATGTTTATCATTGTGAGAGCGAAAAATTAGGGATTTCTTTTGTGATTAAAATCATTATTCTTCAACCTCACTGGTATTTGAAATATCTTTGAATGCTACCAAACATAATACAGAGATTAAGTTATTGCAGGGACCCACTCTCAAGCACCCATCCCTACTATCATCAAAAAAGGTAATTCTTGATACTGATATATAATGTAATACTTTTAACCTGGTTTCCTCCATGGTAGAGATAAGGATACACAAATGTCCCAGGACCCATACTGAGGTCATCTGAAGATGGCAGTGTCTTGAAAAATAAATACATTTTAAAATATATCAATGCCTATAGAAATAGTCACTGTACAAGGAGATAAAAATGGGAAGGAGCAGTGACACATTTAGGTTTAAATCATCTAGCTGTTTTTATCCTTCCTCAGCTCAGCTGTAAAACCTGGACTTCCCACTATGCAGATGCTTTCCAAACAGCCAAACAAAGGAGTGATGAAGAGCAGTAGGTGGTGGGGAAGCAGGTACAGCCTCTCTTCACAAATTTGCTAATAAAAGTGCATCTTTCAATGACTAATAAGTGAGCACTTACTGTAGGCCAGGCACTGTGCTAAGTGCTACACAGACCCCAAAACTGAAGACATAGCCCTGCCCCCTGCTGACCACAACACCCAAGATAGAAGGGGAGGCAGACCTGTTATAAGGCGCTGGTGGTGGGGGTTATTATGACACTTGAGAATAAGGACTTCTGCCTCAGGTGCCCAGAAAGTGGAAACATAAGCTGGCCCTTGAAGTGCAGCTCGGGCCACTGGTATGTGAGCGTATGCATTCAGGAAGAGAAGTGGTGAGCATGTTACAGCCAGAAGCAGCAATCTGTGCACTACAGCCAGCGACACAGGGTGGGGAACAGGGAGCGGCCACCTGTCCTACTTCCAGGAGGAATTATTCTCTAGTTAGGGAAACAAAAGCTATTATATAAAAACAATTTTATCTCTACCTTTCTAGATTCTAGCAATTTATGGGTGGTCAAAAGGAGATCACCTGCTAATACATACATACCCCACTGAAAAGCCATGGAATGGAGCCAAGAAGAGGGGACAGGTGTGAACTAATAATTCTTTAGTGTGAGACCCATGGCCTGATCTCAGTGTTGCCGGGAGATAGCTAAAGATTATGAGAGGTCGTACTGGCAAGTAAACTTCACCGTTGACTGACTTGTTTCACATAATCAAATCAGCCAGAGAGGCAGTACAAACAACAACAACAACAGAAAACCCCCCAAAAACGATTTTCCTCCTGCCATGTAATACAAAGTCAAATGTAAAAGAGGCAGAATTTGGGAATGTAGAAGCAAGGGGGAAAGAAGATAAATCCCTGAACCTCCCTCTCTACACCAAAAAATGAGGCAGTGATGCAGGTAAGCGGATAGCCAGAACAAAAGTTGAAAGAATGTGTGTGTGTGTGTGTGTTTAACAATACATGCTATATGGTTTTATTCATATAAAGTCCAAAAATCACACAAAACTAGACAATAATCTTAGAGGTGCATGCTAAGGTAATACAGAAAATCAAAGAAATGCTTATCATAAAAGTCATTTATGGAGTAGCCTCTAGGAGAGGAAGGAGGGGGTGGAGATTTGGTCCTGAGGAGGCTTCTGGGGGCTGCTGGCCAGTTCCTATTTCTTCATCTGAGTGGTGATTATCTAAGTGTTGCTTTGTGATAATTCAATGAGCAGTACTTCTATGTTTTATGTGCTTTTCCGTATGTCTGTTATAGTTTACAAAGAATTTTAGAAAAATTGTTGCCTCTTTCTACCATTTTGTTTCATTTTTTGATCTCTGTGGGTTTTTGCCTTTACAAAATGTCCTGTTCTTTTAATGGGGTTGCAAAGAGTAGCAAAAGTAAATATATGTGTTCAATTTCATATCTTTACTTGAAAGCTCTCTATCCTTTCTAGACTTCACTTTGCACACTGGAAGACTTCCTAAAGAGCTGCTGTCTTTTTACATTTCATAACTCATTATTAGAAAGGTAGGTATTTTTATTTAAATGAAAAACAAAATAAGTATACAGGAAATTATGAAAAAACTGTATACAACTGATAGAATGTTCTATTTTACTATATTTACTAATTAAAAAACTAAGAACTTCATTTTCTCAAATTTTTCAGTATTTTGTTTTTCCAGTTTGTCCAAGAAATTGAGAAAATCTGTGATGTTTCAGTCTTCAGTATATGTTTATAAAAACTTATCATCTCCCTCCTGAAGTAGCTTCTATACTAACTAAAATAGTCTGATCTGCTCTGGATCATGTAATATGGATATGTCTCCAAAAGAGACATTAAAAAAATTATTATTCATCATATAAAGCCATCTAGACCCTCACTGGAGAAGGGCAGATTAAAAGTAAATTGAAAGGGAAAAACATTTTTTTATTTCAAAAGAAGTATATGTAGGGGAAATATTTGGTTAAGCCTGATTAGCTAGTTCAGTTATTCCTTTGCTAGTATTACAACAAAGACTTACTAGAATTTTGGGAAGGATTCATTTACCCTTTATTTACCATTTTTTAATATAACTGAAGGATTTAGAAGGGAATTTCCCTTTTTTGCTGTCTTTAAGACGTTAAAAAAAATAATGGAGTAACATTATAGAAGCTTTGGATAAACAGAACTTCCCTAAGATCCAGCAATTGCACTAGTAGGTGCTTATCCAAAGAATATAAGAATACTAATGCAAAGGGATTCATGCACCCCAATGTTTAGCAGCATTATTTACAATAGCCAAATTATGGAACAGCTCCAGTGTCCATTGACTGATGAATGGAAAAAGAAGATGCGGTATGTGTATATAATGGAATATTACTGAGCCATAAAAAAGAATGAAATCTTGCCATTTGCAATGACATGGATGGACCTAGAATATTATGCTGAGCAAAATAAGTCAGTCAGAGAAAGACAAATACCCTAGGATCTCACTCATATGTGGAATTTAAGAAACAAAACAAGAAAAGGGAAAAAAAGAGAAAGAGAGGCAAAGAAAGAAACAGACTCTTAACTGTAGAGAACAAACTGGTGGTTACCAGAGGGGAAGTGGGTGGGGGGGGTGAAATAGGTGATGGGGGATTAAGGAATGTGCTTGTTGAGATGACCGCCAGATATTGTATGCAAGTGCTGATTCACTATATTGTACACCAGAAACTTATATTACACTATATGTTAACTGAAATTTAAATAAAAACTTAAAAAAAAATCAAAACAATTCAAAAGTAGATACAGAAATGATAAAAATTTACAAAATGAACTAGCATAAATGATGCTTTCTGGATACAAACATTACCGTTTGTCTACAGATTGGACAACTGATTGCCCCAAGCCATGAACCATATCTCCAGTATGCAATAATGCAGGTACCTAATGAGGAAAAAAACCCATTAATACTGATGTTTTAAATTTTAAAACCCATGAATCCTCAGAAAGTTTCAAATATCTGAAATATTTTTATAGTATCATCTTATTTTAAAATATTTATTTCATCCCTTAGGCAAATTCAAATCTAGTAACAATTCCCAGCCATTGAAAATATTTTTATTTAAACTATTAGTTAAGATACAGACATTTTTTTTTTTTAAGATTTTATTTATTTATTTGAGAGAGAGAGAATGAGAGCGAGTACATGAGAGGGGGGAGGGTCAGAGGGAGAAGCAGACTCCCTGCCGAGCAGGGAGCCCGATGCGGGACTTGATCCTGGGACTCCAGGATCATGACCTGAGCCGAAGGCAGTCGCTTAACCAACTGAGCCACCCAGGCGCCCAAGATACAGACATTTTTATACAATCCAAAGCAAGCATGCATTAACTGCTTCAATGCTGAGACTTAATAGAAATATTGCACTTATGTAAAATAAATAAACATCATTGCAAATATGACAACCAACAAATCACAGTATAAATTTTCTGCTCCAAATTTGGTATATATGTTACAAAAACATCACTTCTATTTTTTTAAAGAATTTAGAAAGCCAAGTTACAGTGGTATAATAATAATTAAGTACCATGAACAAGGAACCACAGAATACAAAGATTACAGGCTGTCTGACCTAATAAAGTTTATAATCCAGTTTAATAATTGAATCAACTTTTGTACTGGACGGATTTGATTTTTCTGCTAGAAGGTGTTCATGAGCAGCAAAACAGCTTAAAGGAAAAGTTTATAGACCTCAAAAAGTGGCAGGTAAGCTAAGTGTAGAAGCACTAAAATTCAGGCCACTAACAAATGAAAAAGGAATATTTTATCTTATTCTATTTTATTTTTTTTAAAGATTTTATTTATTTATTTGACAGAGAGAGAGCACAGGCAGGGAGGAGCAGGAGGAGGGGGAGAAGCAGAAGGGGGCTTGATCCCAGAACCCTGGGATCATGACCTGAGCCACCCAGGTACCCCAAGAAGTAATATTTTTAAATACTGTCTGATGTTTAAGGGGCAAATTCATTTCTTCTCTGCAGGACACCTATTTCTCATACAATTCAGGTCCCATTGTGAATTTGAACTAAGTGCTTTCAGCCTCCAGGATCTTTTGTTTTCTTACTCTTGTCTTAGCAACCTAGCTTAACCCTCCTGCATTCCTTATTCTGATTCTTCCAGATCAAATAAATGTCCAGAATTTAGAATAAGCAATGACAGTCAAATTGAGAAGATCAAGGTGACATAGTGAAATCAATCGGAAGGTAGTTAAATCTCAAACTGTTTACTATTAACTTTAAGTACAAAAGGAATGCAGGGAGGGAGGGAGAACTCTGGGATGCATCAGAGAGTAATTTGTAGATGAGAAAGGATTCGAATTGAACTTTGTAGGATAGGGAAGATTTAGATATAGAAAACAGGAAGTAGGATGCTCCCAGTTTTATGAATAGAAAGGAGCAAATGCCAGAAGTAGAAACAAATGCTATGTGAGGAGAATGGTGAGCAAACCAAGGGGCTAAGCAAAGGCTATCCACATTGGACATTACAGTGACTACGGGGAAAAACAGGTACGATGATTTAAAGATGAATTTAAAAGCCAAACAATATCTGGTATCTTTTCCTACTCTGAGTGCTGTGTTAGATAATATTTATTAATTTGAGTAATCTAATTTCACATAGAAACTATATGAAAGCAAAACTTACAAATCTTGTCAGTATTATTATTAACATCCGTAATGATGCCTCAGCTTTATCTACTACTTGTTCACTCAAAAATTCAATGTGTTTTGACATATATTAACTTATTTAATCCCACATCTCAAGTACAGGTGTCCTTGCTTTGCAAATTATGTAATGGCCACTGACTGCACAGAAAAACTACGGTCCAGCAAATCAAATGCTCCAGTTCACACATATCTGCTATGATATGCTCAAGGTTTTCCCTTTTCTTCAGCTTTCCCCCCTATAAAAAGAGAGATCCACTCTTTGGATGGTGGGAGAGATGACTCATTGATTTTAGTCTGGGTCATAATCTCTCTGAGTCTATTTGTAAAATGGGGTAACACTTCATAAGACTGCTGAAGAATTAAATAAAACAATAGGGGTTACAAATGCAAGTAAGATGAAGTCAGTTGCTACTATTATTCTTAGCTCACTATAAAGGAACAGAACTTGGTTCCATATAGAGAACTAAGCTAAGGTGCTCTTGATATATATACTTGAACTACTATTCAGAGAAACACATTTCTGTTTATGGAGAAGTTGAATGACTGGTTTTTTAAATCTTTGAACCTAGAGACAGTAAATAAAAGTATCTAACAAGTACGGCAGGCTATCAGAAGCAATCTACCCAATTACCTCAGACCCAGAAACCAAGAACACAATACAGCCATCTTTCAACTGACTGGGCTATCCACTCAGTGAATTACCTAAGCCGGGGGTGGGAAATGGAGTTCACCTAGCCTGCCAAACCTCATTGATTCTTAACACCTGCCTGAAGTACTATGTTAAAGGATGGTTGAGGCCATATCTAGACTCGGAAAGATGTCCAATTGATTAGGAATATCTACCAGGGCGCCCAGGTGGCTCAGATGGTTGAACATCTGCCTTCGGCTCGGCTCTGGTCATGGTCCCAGGGTCCTGGGATTGAGCCCCAGATCAAGCCCCGCATTGGGCTCCCTACTTGGCAAGGAGCCTGCTTCTCCCTCTCCTTCTACTGTTCCCCCTGCTTGTGCTCTCTTGCTCTCTCCGTCAAATAAATAAAATCTTAAAAAAAAAAAAGAAAGAAAAAAGGTATATCTACCAGAGGTTTGAGAGGCGGAAAAGTACTGCTTTCTCTGATGGCCATTTAATTCTCTCTATCCGGTATTTCATGATTTTGCTGCTCATTAGCATTCCCAACAGATAAAGATGGACACTGAAATGAGTGGTTTATAACTTGTTAGCTAACTTAGGGAAAAACCTTAGGGAAGAGGATGAAATTAATGGATGATGCAATAATGGGATTGGTCAATACTTACTAAAGGAGCATAGGTATAGAAAACCCTGCATTGCATGATATGGATTTCAAATTATTTATATCCCTAGTAATTCTATACAAACTCAAACAACAGATACAAAGGGGGAAAAGAAACTTAAAGGATCATTGTATGCTACGTTTTAAATTGTCTTAAAATGGAAAATGGGTACATTTTGGGAGCAATTAGAACCCTATCTTGAATACAGCCATTGAAACAGAAAGAAATACTATAAATAAAACAACAGGTCTAGTGAATGGATAAATGTTAAGTAGAGAGTAGTCGCAGAAGCTACTAATCACATAGCAGAACTGACCACAGGGTTTGAAGCTACATTTAAAATCTGGCTCTTTCTTTTAGCAGCTGGGTAACCCTTTGTAGAATTTCTTAGCTCAGCTTCAGTTTCCTCATATGTGGGATTCAAGGAGATGAAGGATGTTAAGTGTCCAGCACATAGTAGGCATGCAGTAACTGACTCTCCCCAATCTCATAGGATCGTAATGAGCAGTGACTATAGGATATCTCATTCTTTATGAAATCTTTCTGGAGGGTCATGAAAAACACCCAGAGGTATAAAGCACCCCTTACTGATACTAGGCAAGTGTGCAATGTATATTCTCTTCTTGTCCTACTATATGATCTAGGTTCATCATTCTCTCTTACCACCCTCTGAGGTCACGACAAAAAACAGGCTAACAACTTTTGTGCTGATGCAGGGTACAATGGAGGTAAGAGGGCTAAAGGGAAGGTCTTGGGCAGGGTTCTTAAGAGAACCTTCCAGCCTTGGGAAGAATGAATAATAAAATGAAACTACCAAAAGGTGATAAACAATGAGGGATTCAGTGAATTCCTCATGGTATTCATATACTTGAATTACCATTCAAAGAAACACATTTCTGTTTATTAAGAAGTTGAACAACTAGTGTTTTTTAATCTTGGAGCTCACAGTCACTAAATGAAAGTGGCTAACAAGTAGAGCAGGATATCAGAAGCAATCTACCCCACTCACGTAATACAAAATGTGACATTAGGAATCCAGCCTAGTCACTTTCCCCAAATAGAGCATTGTTTGCTTACCACAAAAAAGATGCCCGCAGTTTGTTTCAACAGGGAAGGCGGCTTGATGTAAACAGATTGGACAGTACATGTCAGTGTAGAACTGCTGTCGAGCAGCAGCAGGGGCATCCTGATGAGAAAATACGTATGCACAGTTATACAAAATTATCTCGAGGAATACAATTATACTTAAGGACACAGTCCAGAGTGCATAATCCTCATCAAATTTTAGATGTGCAGTAGGTTTAAAGTTTTCTAAGTTTGATAAAGTTATGAGGCTATATTATTGTTTTATTTAAGCTGCATGGTCTCTACCTTCCTTCCTGAACATGACATAAAGACAAAAACCTACATTAACTTCAGAGTTTCTCTTCCACAATGTTAGAATAAGTAAGTTATTCTGAGAAACTCAAGGCTGAGCTAATGCAAAAGCTAAAGAAATGTCAAACTGTTTCCCAAGTATTAGCTTTTAATCATTTTTAAATTTAAGTAAAATTAATTAACATATAGTGTATTATTAGTTTCAGAGGTAGAGGTCAGTGATTCACCAGTCTTATGTAACACCCAGTGCTCGTTACATCATGTGCCCTCCTTAATGCCCATCACCCAGTTACCCTGTCCCCTCCATCCCCTCCCCGCTTTAACCATTTTTAATATTTTTCATTCATACATTCCTGACAAGTGTTGCATGTATGCTGTACCTCCCAAGGGTCCAGAATTAAACTTTCAAAGAAGAATACTGGTCATTTCGGAAGAAGGAAAATTTAATACACTGGTAACCTGGGCTTAATCTTTCACATGGTCAGATTAATAAATTTAATGTTCCTCAGTTATATCACTGTTGTGACTATAATAGGAATGTGGAATAGAATCACCACTACAAGAAGCATCCAGATACCAAAGGACCCACCAGAATGTATAATAGGAGGATAAGGACTTTATCTATAGGACTCATTGTGGTGACCCAGGAATTAGAAAAGTACCTAACACTAGTATGTACTGTGTATCTCTTAAAATACGTATAAAAACCTATTTTTACAGCACCCAGCACACCTCTTATAAACAAAGTAGCCAGCATTAAGAACATCAAATTACAAAAAAAATTATAAAATTGGCTAAATATGAACCATTAATTGTAAACTGAATCAAAGATTTCTGTCACCCTAAATTAATAAACATAACTAAAAACCTCCTATTTCTTAAATCAGTCCTAAAATACTAGAATATTCTATAAGCCATGGTCCACACGTTGATGTTACAGTCTTTTATATCATTTTCAATGGTGCAAAAAAGAAAAACATACAGCTCTTAATGTTCCCCTCTCTATCTTTTGTCTTCATTATTATTCTTTGGAAATTAACTAAAACAAAACAAAACAAAAACAAAAACCACTTGCCAGTGCTGTCCAACAGAACTTTATGCAGTAATGGAAATTTTTATCTGTGGGTATTGAGTACTTGAAAGGTGACTAGTGTAACTATAAAGTACTGAATTTTAAATTTTATTTAATTTTAATTTAAAATTAAATTAGCTACATACGGGTAGTGGCTACCATATAGGACAGCACAGAAAGGGCTAAGTCACTAGCTTTATTCTAACTAGAGCTAAATGCCATAACTGAGGAAGGTGTGAGGGAGGTGAATTGTACAGTGGTACAAAGGGATGTGGAAGATGCGACTCAGTGTGGGACTTCTGTATAGCCAGATCCATTCATGTAATGCCAGCGTGAATTTAAGTACCATCTTAGTGATCTAATATGTTAGATGGGAATGATAATTGTTGCCTTACTGACCATGTTTGTAGATTAAATAAGATAGCTGTAGGTGAAAGCATTCTGTAAATTATAAAACACTATCCCAGCATGAATTATTAATAACAGTAGCTCTGGAACAGATTACTACTAACATTCTTAAACTATTTTTGCATCAGTGAATTTAAGTTTTATGAAGGCAGGAGAATTCTTGTTTGTTTAGCTCACAACTAAATCCTCAATGCCTAGAACAGTGTCTAGCATATGGATGTTTAATAAATATTTGGTGAATGGAGAAACTGTAAAACACTCTTTGGAATTAAATTTTGGTTGGTGAGTGGGAAATCAATTTTTAATTTTTATTTTTTGATATTAGCTATTTTGGCATAAAGGTGTACAATATCCTACTTGTTCCAGGCTTTATGAAATATATTACACTTCTGGTTCTTATACAGTCCATCTGGTTAAAAACACAGAAGAGAAAGAAAAGTTTTCTTCTTTGCCTAACTAGTTTTGCTAACTTTGACCACTGAAGAAAAAGAAGAGGGAAAAAAAAAAAAAAAGCCACCCCTTGTAGTCATCTCTTTGTAGGTCTTCTGGGAATATGTAGGTCTTGGGAAAAAAAAAAAGTTTTTCCACTACATTTCATTAAAGCCAATTAGACAGTGATTATTTCCTCACAAATAAATAACAGGAAAACTGCTGGGGTTTTTTTGTTTGTTTTTTGCAAATCAAAAGGCTTTTATTGAAAAATGGCCAGACCCTGCTCAATCCACGTCCCACCTCTGCACCCTGATAGCAACCAGTTTAGCTTTTTAACTTGTATTTTCTGATATTTACCTACATAATTAAAAGTCATATGCTTATACTGCTATTTCTTAATTTACCAACTTCAGACATTTACTGTCCTCCTGTTGAAATAAAGAAGTTAGCTGTATTCCAGCCCCATCCTCCTGCCCAGTATATCTGGAGCACTATTTTTAGGTAACTCAGTGATCAGCATTCCTATTAAGAAAATGTGGCTCTTCATTTCCCCCAAAGCTCTATCAGAACTGCCCTCCACCTCTCTTCCTCCACAAAAGTTCTGTCAGGTTCCATACTCTGTTTTGGGCTTCCTTTTCCCAGAAGTGTTCCCTCCCATACCACACTGCCCAGCTGTCTTCAGGAGCTCTCTTCTCCAGGGCTTTCTCCCATGTCTCTGCTTCTTGGTCCTCTGTCTCTGTTAGCTTACTCTCTGCCTTTGGAAATTCCAGTTGCTTCCTAAGAGATTGGTCAGAGGCTGTTTTTAAAGCAAGTTTAAAAAAAAACACTCACATAAAAACATCTGAGTAGTTAAGACTGGTCATTTACCTAATCTGAAAATATACAATCTATAGAATAATTAATAAAGCAGGAAATCAGTCCATGTTTCCAAAAAGTAATTGTTTCATCACAATTTCATATGCAAGGGCAATAATAATGTTACTCTTTATATAAATGCACATATTTATATAACAACAGTACCTGTTCTGTTTGAAGCTGCTCCCGAAGCACCCTTACTAGCTCTTGGTTTTCTGGGTGAATGTTCTGATGTGCATTTCTGTTGAATAAAATATAATAAACTTTGAATATAAAATATTGCCAGATGAACCAGTTTTCTTTTTTTTTTTTTAAAGATTTTGTTTTTTTAAGTAATCCCTACATCCAATGTGGGGCTTCCACTCAGGACCCCAAGATCAAGAATCATATGCTCTACTGACCAAACCAGCCAGATGCTCCGAATCAGTTTCTTTATGGGTCTGATTTTCAACCAAGGACTACTGGTAACTTCATAAATGTAAATGATGGTATATAACTGTCTCCAATTCCAGGACCGAACATTCCAGGTTACTCTAGGCGGAGTTCTAAGATCACTGAGTATGGCCTGATTTCAGGTTCAACTGGCAAATGATGAAATCCAGAGGCCTAGTACCTTGTAGATTTGATGTAACTGCAGGCTTACAAATCATATGAAGAACAATTAACACATTTATTTCTTCTGTGAAATTCCTTCAAAATAAGCAACTATGGAATTATATTATTATGCATTTGAACACATCCATTTCTAATTAGATCTTTCCACCTATGAGGGGAGGGGTACAGAAAAAAACAGAAAATCAAACTGTAGCATATAGAAAAGCCCAAACCTAAAATACCACTAATATCTTAACATTAAGAATTAAAACAGAGACTCAAAGGCAAGAATTTAGTGGCTGATATAAAGGATGAGATAAGACATGTGGGTATTGGAAATCAGAAGTGGTGGTTAGGTTGGCAGGGTGAGGGTGAAGATATCCATCTGATTCACAGCTTAATTCCATTTGGCTATAACAGCTTCTTCTAAACTTAAATATTTTTATTTTTTATTTATTTTTTTAAAAGATTTTGAGAGAGCAAGAGAGTGAGAGAAAGAGCACAGAGTGGGGGAGGGAGAGAGAGAAGTAGGCTCCCTGCTGAGCAGTGAGCCCAATGAGGGACTCGATCTCAGGACCCTGGGATCATGACACGAGCCAAAGGCAGGCGCTTAACCGACTGAGCCACCCAGGAGCCCCTAAACTTGAACATTTTTAACAGCAATATTTTAAGTCCACAAAATCCCAGCATTACTCTATTATATAAGAGCCTTTATTCTCTGGGTGAGCTAATACTCAACAGTGATAAAACCTCTAAATCAGGGGCACCTGATCAAACCCCAGAAGAGCCTGCTTCTCCCTCTCCCTCTGCTCCTCTCCCCACCTCAAATTAAATAAATAAAATAAGATAAAATAAAATAAAATATAAATGTAATAAAGCTACTTGAACTCTATTTAAATACCTTAAATTTTGGTAGATTATTTATTTTAAATATTACTTTCTTGTGACTGAATAAACAGTCTCTGGAAGAAAGCTACTCTCTGGTGAAAACAATCTATCAGGGAACAGCACATGAACCATTTCATTGAAGTACCAGTACATACCTAACTAAACAACATTTCTCTATGACACTAGAAAACCACTCCCTTCTCATTGGAAAAAGATAGTTACTATTTTTCAGAGTATAGATATAAACCATGTAATTGGAAGGTCTTTCTTTTGGTTTCTTTCCATAAAGGAGAAGATATAAGATTGTAAAATCTGGTAGTACAATGTTAAAAAAGTCAAAGTATAACCAGAGAACATGAACAAACAGCCTGAGATGCTGAACATGGCCTATAGCTCAGTAAGTTAAATGTGATGAGCAACTATGAGTACAGAACCAAAAATGTAGAAAATAATGGGATGATTAAGACGAACTGAAAACTAGATTAGATGGTCTTCAAAATGTGATCATCTAGGGGTGCCTGAGTGGCTCAGTTGGTTAAGCGTCTGACTCTTGGTTTCGGCTCAGGTCATGATCTCAGGGTTATGGGATGGAGCCCCGTGTTGGGCTCTATGCTCAGTGGGGAGTCTGCTTGAGATTCTCTCTCTCTCTCTCCCTACTCATGTTCTCTCTCTCTAAAATAAATAAATGAATCTTTAAAAAAATGTGATCATCTCAGCTATGAGAAAATGACACTAAGTAGGTCTAAATGAAGTAAGATGTCAAGGAAAACAGTGGCTCTAATACAGAAACAAAGTACGTCATTTACTTATGACTTACGGTCCTTCGTTATTCTTTGAAATGAGAAACCAAAATTATCCAGTTATGTGGCCCTGGAAAGAAGCCAGGAAGCTCTAATATGAAGAAAGAAATGACACCCAAACCCTGGGTCAAGAAACAAAGTCTGAATCAAAGTTTACAAATGTGTAAGTCTGTGGTTTATAGGTTAAACTGCTTATGAAACCCTTTGGACTGGCTTTTGGTATGGCAACAAATGGCAACTATTCGTAAAGCTTAAGACAAAGAAATTTATCATAAGTATAATACAATGCTGAAGGAAATTAAAGAAGAAACAAAAAAAATGGAAAGACATCTTGTGTTCCCAGACTGGAAGACTTAAAATTTTTAAGATGTCAGTACTACCCAAAGTGACCTATTTACAGATTCAATGCAATCCCTGTCAAAATCCCAACAGCATTCTTTGCAAAAATAGAAAAACCCAGATCTTAGGAAGATGGCACACTAGGAGGATCCTGAGCTCACCACCTCCCACAGACACATCGAGGCAACAATTACCTTATAATATAATTCGCTCTGAAACTGACCACTGGGAAAACAGTTCCTCCACAGCTAAAGACATAAAGAGAAGTCCACATTGAGATGCGTAAGAGGAGCAGAGATGAGGTCAGGATTCAAACCCCTTGCACAGCATCCCACAAGTGGGAGGGCTATCACAGGCACAAAGGTCAACTCTGAAAAGGGAGGGGATGAAGCCTAACACTGGACACCCCCAGCCCTGGGGAACTGCACTGGAAACACAAGCCTTCATAAAGTCTAGCTTTGAAAATCAGCAGTTGAACTCCATGAGAGCTGGAGGGTTACAGGAAACCAATTCCCTACTCTTAAAAACCCAATGTTTTATACTATCACTTGGTCTGAGAACCAGCAGAGACCAAGTTTGAAAAGCACCTGCATTATACGTGAAGGACATTTATTAATTTTAGGGCTTGTGTCAGAGAGGCAGAGATCTACAGACACTTTCTCTGGAAAAGGAAGTGCTGGTAAGGTGCCATTCTTCCTGCCTTCCTTTGGCCAAGGTAGCCGGATGGCCATGGGAGACAGTTCTGATACTCTCTATCTACCTTGCTAGCCTTGCTAGCCATGTTAGCCATGCTCGCCCCATCCCAGCATTCACCTGTGGACCTGCCTTACCCAACCATCCCACCCTGGCAGGCACTCTTTCAAAATGGCTCCTATCCTGCTGCACCCAGTCAGCAGTCCTGGCTAGAACCAGCACCTGCTCCAAAGCAATTCCTGCCCCAGAGAGGGAGAAGAGCCAGGCCTGCCCACCAGCATGGCTGTACCAGTTGTGGCTGAGGCTCTCAGCTAGCTGTGTAGGAACCAGCCCCACCGACCAAAATGGCAGCAATACACATGCCCAGGCAACAAGTGAAGGGCACATGCAGCCTACACAGAGAACACCACTGGAACACCTGATTCTAGTGACCAGGGAGGACTGTGCTACTGGGCCCCACAGGACACCTTCTACATAAGATCAATACCTTCAAGACCAGAAGACATAGCTGACATACTTAATACATACAAACAAACACAAAAAATCAGAAAAAATGAGGGGACAGAGGATTATGTTCCAAACAAAAGAACAAGACAAAACCTGAAGAAAAAAACCAAACACAATGGAGATAAGTAACCTACCTAACGGAGAGTTCAAAGTAATGGTCATAAACATGTTCACTGGACTTGAGAGAAGAGTGGATGAACTCAGTGAGACCATCACAAGATAAAATATAAAAAGAACCAACCAAAGCTGAAAAATAGGGGTGCCTGGGTAGCTCAGTCGGTTAAGCGTCTGCCTTTGGCTCAGGTCATGATCTCGGGGTCCTGGGATTGAGCCCTGCTTCCAGCTCCCTGCTCAGCAAGGAGTCTGCTTCTCCCTCTCCCTCTGTCCCTTCCCTCTCCCGGTTTGTGCTCTCTGCTCTCTCTCAAATAAATAAATAAAATCTTAAAAAAAAAAAGGGCTGAAAAATACAATAAGTGCAATAAAAAATACACTTGAGGGAATCAACAGCAGATTAGAAGATGCAGAAGAACAGTTCAATGACTGGAAGACAAGGTAGTGGAAAGCACCCAAGCTGAACAGAAAGAAAAAAGAATTTTTATTTTTTTAAAAGATTTTATTTATCTGACACAGAGAGAGAGAGAGCGCACAAGCAAGGGTAGTGGCAGGCAGAGGGAGAGGAAGAAGCAGGCTCCCCGCAGAGCAGGGGGAGTTCAATGTGGGACTTGACCCAGGACCCCCGGGATCATGACCTGAGCCAAAGGTAGTCCTTTAACCAACTGAGCCAGCCAGACACCCAGAAAAAAGAATTTTTAAAAAATGAGGAAAGGTCAGAGATCTCTATGAGAACATACTAACAATCACATTATAGGCAGAAGAAAAAGACAAAGTGGCAGAAAACTTATTGAAGAAATAATAGCTGAAAACTTCCCTAAATTGGGGAAGGAAACAGACATCCAAGCCTAGTGAACACAGAGAGCCCCAAAAAAGATGAACCCAAGAAGGTTCACACCAAGACACATAATTAAAATGCCAAAAATTAAAGAGAAAATCATTAAAGCAGCAAGAGAAAATAAAATAGTTATATACAAGGGAAACCCCATAAGGGTATCAGCTGATTTTTCACAGATACTTTGCAGGCCAAAAATAACCGGTATGATATATTCAAACTCCTAAAGTAAAAAGCCAGAGTTGTCATTCAGAATTGAAGGAGATATAAAATTTCCCAGACAAACAAAAGTTAAAGGAGTTCATCAGTACTAAACCAGCCTTACAAGAAATGTTAAATGGATTTAAGCAGAAAAGAAAACGTCAAAACTATAAGTAACAAAATTATGAAAGGAAAAAATTTCACTGGTAAAGCAAACATACAGTAAAGGTAGTAGATCATTCATAAAACTAGTATGAAGATTAAAATACAAAA